CTCGGTACTGCTTGATATTGTCGATTAATGGTCGGTATAAGCTTAGATAAAATAATAAAAGATATTAATTATTTATTACCGAGTTAAATACACTCGGTATTGCTCGGTACCGAGCGATTTTGGCAGTTATAAATACTCGGTACTGCATGGTATTGTCGATTAATGGTCGTTATTAGCTCAGTTATATCGCTATGAACTGCTCGGTATTTATAACCATTAGTTCGTATAAGCTTCGGTATGTTAATCGGTGCTGCTCGGTACTGCTCGGTATTATGAACAATAACTCGGTATAAGCTTGCTTTAATAGTCCAAATCATGTTATATACTCGGTAATCATCGGTATTAACTCTATTATGTTCGGTACCGATTGTCCTTTGTATGTATAATTTAATACTCCAAATCGTTTGTTTTTAATATTCGGTATTCGTTATGCAGGGATATACTCCAAAGATTCATTTCAGATGCCGAACTTCGACTTTTAGAGAAGTTTGTAATCAACTTGTTCGGAGATTTGGAAATCCTTTTATTGAAAGACTGCGGCAGCTGCAAATAAGCCAATTCCTGATGGTTCCTCTAATGCCTCAGAATGTTCCACTTATGTATATGCTGCTATCGAAGTGGGATTTGAAGACTGAAAGTTTTATTATTAAAGGACATAAGCTAGAGTTCACATCTGATGAGGTTGCCTTAATCATAGGCATGCCGAATAGAGGTATTATATTTGACGTTGGCAATGCTAGATCCAGTGGCAAAACATCTAATGACATTCGTCATGACATTGAGATGATGGATAATTCAACTCCATTGAATGATCTAGTAAAATAATTCATCCTTTACCTGCACCACCTCCTGCAACTGAACTTGTTCCAGCTTCTGAACCAGATCCTACACCTGCAGTTGCTCCTCCACCTGATCCTGAGCCTGAACCTGCTCCAGTACCTTCTCCTGAACCTGCTCGTGAACATGCTCCTACATCTATGAATGAATCAACCACGGGTCATAATAAAGCTATGATTGTTTATGAAGTTGATGTCTCAAAACAAATAGAATTGCGTCCTGCACCTCAAGCATTAGATTACTCTGGGTGACCATTAATAAGTGAAGATAAGCGTATATTCATCGATAATTGTCTGAAATAATTCAAGGATAAGTGAGTATTGTACTTATACTAACCAAAACCAATCAATATCGAGCAATAATCTTATTTATACCGAGGAAAACCAATCAATATCGAGCATTAATCTTCATTTTACTCGGTATTATATCAATCATGTGATGTATAGTACGTTGATTGGTTTTTTAATGCATTATACCGAGTAATACCGAGGTTTATTGATCGGTGCTACTCGGTATTAGTGCAGTTCAGTACACACCGAATACCGAGCAATACTGACTTCTGTGGACAAGTACCGAGTACTAAAAAGGACTAATACCGAGCAATACCCACTAATCATAGACAAATACCGAGCAATATAAAAACAGATTGGTACTGCTCGGTATTAGTTGAAATATGCTCGGTAATATACTAGTGCATTTCAGTACACACCATCTACCGAGCAATACCGACTTCTGTGGCCAAGTACCAAGCAATACCAACTAATTATACACTAATACCGAGCAATACAAATTTATAACCAGTACTACAAAGATTTCAAAATTATGAAATTCACATATACAATCAAAAAGCCATATTCATAATAGAAATATCTCAAAATTCCCAAATTACATGAAAGACGATTAACTGCCTGAATCTCCAGTTGTAAAGTGTATGCTTGTTGGAGGATTCCTCTCTGTCGGTTTAACTTTTTTGGTCTTCCTTCTCTCCTAGTGATCCTTCAATCTTGCATTTGATACGCCCTTTGTCCGGCATTTCTTAGGATCTTTAATAGTTTCATTACCTGCTCCAGAAATTGATATGTTCTTTCTGTCAATTTTGATTGAATGCACTTTTGCAGTAAATGCACTTATGCCATCTATCACACACATTTCAGCCGCTTCATTACTTTGAGCTTCTGTGCTAATTTTATATGCAAATCGACAGATATAATTTTTGAATATCAAGTTGCTGGACCCCTCAATAGGTTGGCAAGCATTGATATCGAGAGATGAGATCTTCCCTCCATAATATAAATCTTTTCGAGCACTGGCTGACCATCTTAGAAGTAAATATTTAGCGGGAATATTAACAATATCTAACCATCTCATAACTCTCATGCAATGCGAACATAATATACCCATCATTTCAAATTTTGCACAGCTGCATTGAATGGTATCTTCTAAGGAATTAAAAGTGACAATCCAATTGTGTGAATCAGTGGAGTTACCTATATTCTTTATGGAAAATTTTGAAAAATCCAACATTTAGGGTGCTAAGGTCACTACAGTCAATCTTATTTTCACAATCTTCATTAAAAAGGTTAGCAAAATATCTCATCCATCTTTGTTGAATATCATCTTCTAAGAAAAGTATTTTTTGATCTTCATCTTTAAAATCCGATGAGTAATTTTCAATGTTTAGTCCACCAAGTCCATGTAAGAACTCTTCAAAAAATGAATACAATTTTTTTGAATACTCTCTCCTCTCTCCTCTCATTAACAATAAAAAAATAAGTATTTGACTTTGTTGTTGATGTTAAAGCACCATACTTTTGAATGAGCCTTATTGTACAAATGTCATTGGCACAATCGATGCCGTGTATTAGATAATGCAATCTCTATTGCCCTTTCCATGGCTTGGTCCTGATCAGTAAAAATAATAATGGGATGTTTGTTATCCATAATTCTTAGAAATGTTCTAAATAGCCAGGTAAAAGAATCAATAGTCTCCTTAGATAGAAATGCAACTCCTAATAGAACATTTTACTAGTGATTATTCACTCTAACAATTAGGGCACAAGCTAAGTTATATTTATTTAAACGATAACTTGTATCGAAAATAATCACGTCCCCAAAACAGTCATAATCAATCATATCAAGACCATCAACCCAGAAGAAATTCAACAAACAATCGTCTTCATCAGTTTGCACATCCCAGGCAAACATGTTGTCATCAATTGTTCGTTCTTTAAATAACTTGATCAATGAATTAATATCTCCAGTCTCAATCTTGGCTCTTCTTTCTTTTTGGATGTAGTTGTATGCATCCCGCTTGGTGAACCACAGATTATCAACACCTCCAACTTCATCAGATAGGTATATAAATGCATTAACAGTTCTTATCTTTGCTTGTGACATTGATTTTAGAACAGATGCATTCTCATAACTAATGCTCCTAGATGACCTGAGCAAATGTTGATCATCCGACTTAGCCAGTTCGTGATTGTGACTCTCTATGGCTTTATTCACCCCTCAAATCCCATCTTGACTCACCGAAAATCTAACCATGGCTGGACATCCTATTTTTGTACATGATTTTTGATATTTAACCATTGTACCTATCTCAGACTCCTTGAATCCTGCTTTAGAACACACAAAATTCTTTGATTTGATTTTTCTTGTATTTGGCCAGAAATGGTGATGATCTTTCCGAAAACTAAATTCAGTTGAATGCGCGTAATCACAATATTTTTCATATGCTTCCTTTTCAGAGTTGTAAACACCATGTGAAAAAAGATTCACACATCCAGTTTAGCATTATATCTACATATCAATACCGATCTTATACCGAGCAGGTTGAATGATCGGTACTAGGAAGTAATAAGTTTTATTAGCTCGGTACAAATGTGCTCTGAGTTTAAAACGAGCTATAAAAATTAGTACCGAGCTTATATCGAGCTAATTGAATTATCGGTTCCATGTAATGATCAGTACTAGGTTATACCGAGCGAAACCTATCAACTGTACTAATTGGTACAACTTCAACCAACGTTTGATTTGCTCGAAACTTGTGTGCAAATAGTTCATACCGAGCAACATTGTCTAGTACCGATCAGTATCGAGGTATCTCAAACCCTGTACCAAGTAAATCTAATGGATTTTTATGATTCTGCTAGGTACAAGATTTTACATATTCTTCATCTACGTTGATGTCCAGTTCTATTCGTAATGAAACAATAAAAAAAAATCAAATATTATAGATAAGGAATTACTTGTATTAAATCAGAAAACTCTTGATCAAAATTTAACGTCAGAGTTTCCTCAAAATCTTCGAAGTATTCGAAATGAGTAGCTACATTCGTACCTTCCATCTTCTCAAACATTTCACGATTTCTTTAGCTGCGGTATATGAACCCTAAATACTGTATAACATCTTAGGTTTAATACTGAAAATGTTATTATACCTGTGGTAAAAGTCGTGTATTTTTTTAGTTTTCATGCCCAATTCATATACAATGCGACGGGTCGACCCAAAAAATTGAAAAAAATGTACTAAAGTGTATGGGTTGCTGTCGGGTCATTACGGGTCATAGGACTGCTACGTGGCGCGTAATTAAGCAATACCAAATGTAGCGCTACGTCAGGTAACCTAAGGCAATAAAAATTCCTCTCACCCCCGCATCTCTCTCCCTCTTCCTGAGTCTCTTTCCAATTCGGCTTTCTCTTAGTGTTAGAAATGCGTTGAAAATTTTGGCATTTTTAAAGAATACGCCAGTTTGTTTTCGGAAAACGTCAAATAATTTAGCATACTCTTAATTAATTATGAAAATGACAATTTATTTGACAATTTTTTAATTTTAAATTATTTAATAACTAAGCTATTTATGCTTAATTACATATTAAATATGCTTCTTTTTAAAATTCGTCGTTCTTAAAATTTGTTCAATCATATTTTTTCTCATTTCTACGCTCTGGCTCATGCTCCGGCTCCCGCAGCTCTCACGTCCAATGCTTCCGGCCAAAATCCCTACGTCTTGCGAGTTGTGTCTCGGACCACGTCTTCTGAACTCCTTTCTTCCTACACTGACGTCTACATCCCGCGAGCTGTCTTCCAGCTAGGTAAATGACAACAAAACTCGTCTTTACTTGAATTACAATCCAATTGTTCAGATCAGGTTTCAATGATGTAAAAATCACGATACCCTAATACAACTCCACAATATTTGGTCATAATTACAAAAATCATCTTTCTCCTGAGATGTGCATACCCTAGTTTAACCTCACGTATATCCTAAACAATGAAAAGCATGTGAAGTGTCTGGTTCCCAAGCTCCAGGAAAGAGCCGTAGCTCCTCCGCCTACTCTTCTCTCATGTGACTCGAAGCCCGTCGATTTCCCTGTTCGGCCGGGCCTAGGGAAGCCAGCTGGCTAGTGTTCCTTCTCCCGTGCCCTTCCAGGAATCCAATCTGCTTTACCCACCACAGTGGCAGCCACGCCTCACTGCAAATCAAAATTTTTAGTTGTGGCAAGTATGCGCTCTGCTAGGCTTTTCCTTCCCTAGCCTTCCGTCTCCATGTCGTGGTTCCTGCTGGATCTAATTCTCATTTTGGCATCAGGGAAGTTTTCTTACTTCCTTTTGTTGACGTGTTCTCTTTTTCATTGTAGTTTTTTTTTTTTTTTGCTCCATGGCTGCTCCGCGATTGTTAGATCCTAATTTTTTTAACGGGAAAATGTTTACTCGATCTTTTAAAGATGCTTTACATGGATTATCTTCTTCGTCTTCTAATTTTTCTGATCTTAAAATTACTTCTCTCCGTGGTTTACCGGCCTTGTGGATTTCAGAGGAGGAAGTTCTGGCACTTGTTGCCCCCCTTGAGTTCGCTTTGGTAGGTAAATTTTCATCTCGTCGCCTTTCGGTTTGATGTTACCAGGAAATTCTTTTTTAATCTCAAACTTATTGGCCAATTTTTTGTGACTGTTCTTAATCTTAAACATGTTTTGATTAAGCTTGAAAATGACCTTGATTACTGTAGGGTTTTTGCTCATAGATCCTACTTTGTGAACAGTTGTTTCATGAAAATTTTCAAATGATCCCCTTTGTTTGATATTGAAGTTGAATCTCCCATTATTCTTATTTGGGTGTCATTTCCCAACCTTAGACCTCATTTGTTTTCTACTCGTATCCTGCATGGTCTCGCTTCTATCTTCGGCAAGCCTCTTAAGATTGATAATGCTATGTCTACTATTACCCGCCCCTCTGTTATGCGATTCCTTATCGAGTTAGACATTACCAAACATTATCCTGATAAAGTTTGGGGATGCCCTGAGGGCTTGGGTTACATTCAATCGGTTATCTTTGATGAATTTCCTCCTTATTGTCCTCATTGTAAATCACTAGGTCACTCAAAATTGAAGTGTGACATACTACATCCTCATTCTATTCCTAATGCTAAGGTGGTTAATGTTGTTTTGGGGGTGAGCTTGGTAATGTTTCGTCTGACAATCCTGGTGGCATTGGCCCTGAGGCTTTGGTTGATTCGTCCATACCTGTGTCGTTGGACCCTGTTCTTGCGGATGATGTTAATTGGCCATATTTCCATGGATGTTGTTGTTATCGATTCATCTCTGGTTTTGGGGGAGGATGTCCCTGGTGTTGATTTGGACTTGGATCAGGATCTTGGTCCTACTAATGCTTTTGTGGGTAATGATTGTGATCTTGTGAACATGATGGATGTTAATGTCCATGGTTCAGATAATTTAGATATGGTTAAGGCAAATTTAGATGGAAAGGAGGTTATTGTGGCTTAGACTATTGATCATAACCTTTGCCAGATTAATCTGGAAGCTATTCCTTTCGTTTCTCCTGTTGCAACTGTTGTTCATAATACTGGTGATGCTCAGTTTTTTTTATTTGCATGCTCATTTAGACCCTGGTGACCGTAGCTGTGTGGTCACTAATGATTTGAATAATCCTACTCTCTTTTGTAGGCTTTCTGAGGGTGATGATCCCTTAGGCTTTGACATGCCTCTTGTTGAGGTGCTTATCTCCGTTATTTCTAAGGATGGTATATTAACTAACCTTGCTTGTAAATCGAAGGATAATATGGTTTTGCAGGGTGACTGGTTAAATGATGATAATTTCTCATATGGTGGTGAGGGATTCATTGAGGATGCTTTGACGTCTCAGGATAACTGGTATTTTAGTTTTACTCAAATTGCAGGCGTTGAGAATTTTAATAGTAAACACAGAGCTCGTAAACACAAAAAGAAATGATTTCTATTTTTTTTGTTTTGGCTCTCTTTCCTCTGTAGTTCTGCTTTGTGGGGCTGATGTTGATTTTTTGGTTTTGGATTGTTGTGATGCAAGGTTGTGGGATTTCTGTGGCTTTGATGGGGTTGGTTTTCAACACGCCTCACTGGATGGCCATGGCTTATTGGCAACCATGGTGGCTATGTTATTGGCTCGCTCTCTTTTACTTTCCTCCTTAGGACGGGCCAAGCGTGGCAACCAGGTGGCGATCCTGAGCTATTTTTTATTTCCTTTCCACTTTGCTTTTTGTTTTTTATTGTGGTGTCTTAACTTTGTAATTTTTGGATTTCTTTGGCTCTAGGCTTTGGCTATATGTCTCCTTTGATTATGGAATAAAATTTTTCGTTTAAAAAAAAAAAAAACAATGAAAAGCCAGAAGACATCCCAAATAAAATAAGAGCAGGTAATAGAGAAAACCCAAACAATATCACGAAATAGCACTCACCTTCCTTCGGAGGCACGAGCACTAACTTCCACCGAGAGGCGACCTCTACCTTCCTACTAGATGCGCCAAAAAGGGGACGAACACGACATAACGACTGCGAGAGTGATAGGCCGATTCAAACATATAATTTAAAGATTTTGATGTTATATAAGTAAATGTGAAGATTTAGTTGTTAGATTTATAAATAAAATTTCCATCTTAGCTTGTTGGTTAGGGACTTTGGATTTCAACCAAGAGATCTTAGGTTCGATCTTGCATATACAGTGTGTGTACGTTTGAGATTTAATTCGTTCAATATATATATATATATAATGCTTTAAAAAGACAATCTTGATTAAAACTCCAAATCCTATGCTAATAATATTTTACACATTTACTGAACTACTCAGTATCAATTGTGTGTTCTTATTTGCTCACCAAGTTTTTTTTTTTTATTAAAGTTTTGAATATTAAGGATTTTGTGATAATCTGAAATCATAATTTCTCATTCCTTTCATATAGTAACTTCTTGCTATTTACTCAATTATGTATAATTGAGTAGCTTGCTTTCGAGTCGAGTCGGGTGGAGCTCGAAGCTTATAAACTTGGCTCACGAGCTCGTTAACGAGTCGAGTTCAAGCCAGCTTGGCTCCCTTACACCCCTACCTTTGACTAACCTCCACTAAAAAAAACAATCTCTAGGATTGAGCTTTAACTTCCTAATTCAAGAAAACTGAGAACTCAGACCACTAAAATGAGTTTCAAAGGCCATAACAATGATAATCTTTCCCATTTGCCACTGAATTAATTCTGATTTATCACAATCTATTCCAGATCCACCTTGATCCCCAGAATTCTCTGCATCAACTTAGCACCAAAAACCTTTTGCATATTTGAAACCTTCCACTGCTGTTCCTCATCAAGAAAATCAGCCATTTCAAGCCTGTAGTTATCAATCGGAGTTGGCCATCTAGCCAAAGGAAGGTTCTGAATCCAAACATCATTTAATGTATTTATTTGAACTCCATTAACAACCCTCCACCTAACAATAGGTCTAAGAGCTTTGGCACCATCAATATATAATAATTTTAAAATGCTATATTTTTGTTCCAATGATTTTTATGCTAATACAAATATGTCTATATAAAGGAAAGAGAATAAAATAATAATGGAAATGCAATAAAATAGAATATCCTCAATAATAAGGATATATTACATGAATAAATATGATAAATTTTTTACTATAAATATTATGGCAATGAATAATTTTAATTATTCCCTATTTGGTCAAGTATTAAAAAATAAAGTTTATTGTAACGCTAATGTTTATGACGTTTATGATTGATAAACTGTGATAAATTTTAATTTTTGTACTAAAACTCTATTTTAAGAAGCAATAAAAAAGTCGTCTCAAACGAAGCCTTTGTCAGCTTGTTAAAATGCCTCCTTTATCAGAGTTATTTTATTGGAGTATCAAATCAAGGCATTAAATAAATGACCTACACCGACCCGAGCTATGCTATCGTCATGATTAGGCTTGCAAACGAACCGAGTCGAGCTAAGCTTTGGCCAGTAAGGCTCATTTGTGAAAAACGAGCTCAAATTATTTAACTCTAGGCAGTGTTGGACTAAAGGGCCTACAATTTTTTTTTTACACCACAGAGGAGAGAGAAAGGTAGGCGGGAGTTAAAAAAATGTGAAATATATAGAGAGAGGGTGGGGTTGGCAATGTGGCGGGGAGAGTAATAAATATATATATTATATATATTATATATATATATATATATATTATATATATATAATATATATATATATATATATTAATATATATTATATATTATATATATAAATATGTGTGTGTGTTGTATTTGATGTGCCTGCACATTCTTAGGTTGAAGCTGTTTATGAATCAGTTCCTGTGGTTGCTCAAAGGATTCAATTAGCTTTTTGTGTGTATACACCAGTTATATGATTATATTAGCATTGAGGAAGTAATCGTAGGACAAATTTTCTCAAGATAGTCTTTCCTTACAATTACACAGTTTGCAATTTCTCTACTTCATTTTATACCAACTTTTCAGGGAATATGGTGAGCTATCTGTTGGGTGTGGTATGTTGGAGAGGCTCTAAATATTTTTGAGGATCTTGAACTATGGACAATCTAATATATTGTTACCTGTATTAAATATCTTAATCCTATTTTATATGTAGGTTTTACATTTTGTTAAAGTAGGAGCTATAAATATACAATTTTACTCTTGCAAGATCTGGACAAAAAGGCAGCAGCTGTAGACTTTATTAATGCACGGCTCCGCGAAACTCCACAGACCCAAATATGGTGAGCCAACTCAAAGAAAGCCTAATTTTGCTTTTTTTTTTTTATTTTTTCTTTTAGATCTTACATTTTATGATTTTTTATTGGATGAACTATTCCGATAAACTTGAATTTACAACTCAAATATTTTTTAATTAGCCCAGGTGCAAAATCACAAAGCTCATCCCATTATATCACATGAATTTCTAGTACTGTGAGCTGTTACCAATCACACAGCGCCACAGAGAGTGATACTTTGGATTTCCACCAGCTAAAAAGTAAATTTTTAGTGTTTAAAAACTCCAAATGATCGAACAGGAAAAACTATGGTATGGAGAGTCAATAGATGCAATGCCCAAACCCCCATTGTGCTTAGTGCAACATGTGTCTTTCCAAGAAACCAATGATAAGTTTCTATCGTTAATGTTTCCAAAAAAATTGAATCTAGAACACATGCGATTAATCAGGTTGCAACAACTTTTTAGGAATGATTGATCCACGTATCCAGTAAGCAAGAGTGTTGCTAATAGTGAATTTAATGAATTGAATACGACCATCCAAAGATAAAGTTTTGGCTTCCATCAATTTAAGGGGGGTAGAAACTTTTTGCAGTAAAGGTTGGAAGTCAGAAACTTTTAATTTTTGTAGAATATTGGCAGCCCCAAATATTTCATAGGGGTGTGAGATGTTTTGTATGTTGAGAATGTCACAGATATAGCAGCATTAAGTGTGTTTTTAGAAAAGCAAGATGGAGCTTTTTAGGGGATTGACATGAAGACCAGTTCTACAGGAAAGTTCCAAAGGATGGAATTGAGTGTTAGCACTTTGAGTTGAAGCATACAAAAACTAATAGGTCGTCATCAACATAAGATGAAGAGATGTGACATTCCCTAGCCATAATTCCTTCAAAAAGGGAATTGGAAGTAGTCAATCTAAGCTGGAAGACAAACCATCCATGACAATACTAAGAGATAGGGGGAGAGCGGGCATCCTTGCCGAATACTAGAGTAGAATTGATACCTTCCAATGCCCCATTGATACAAATGGAATAATGAACATCTATAGTGTAGACTTTGATCCAATCAATAAACATTTCAGGGAAACCTTTGGCTTCAAGTCTTTTAAAAAGAAAGTCTCTAGAGATAATGTATTAATTATTGATTAACTTAATTAATATAATTTAAAATATTAATAATTAAGTAAATGAATTAAATAATTTTTAGTATAATTAGTGTATAAATTAATTTAGCATATTTAACTTAATTGAATCTTAATAAATAAATATTAATATAATTAGTTTAGTTCATATATTCTTAAAATATATATTATTAAATATATAATTGATAGTGCAAATAATAATTAATTAGTATTAGAATTTTTAAGTGACTAATGAGATAATATAATAATATAATTTATAATTAAAACTAACTAAATAATACTTAAATATTTAATAAATTATTATTAAGTAACTAGTGCTTTCAAAATAACTAGTATGATTAAATATAATTTCAAATAGAATAATTATTAATATAATTATTATAAATAATAATTAAATAATTTTTCTTAAAATATTTAATTGATAAATGAGATAATTAATAATATAATAAATTTAAAAATAATTAAATAATACTTTAAATTAATTAAATTATTAGGTATTCTTAAATAATTAGTTATTAAAAATTAACTAATTATTTATATACTTATTAATATAAGTATATATCAAATACTTATTAGATTAACACATAAGTAATTTAATAAATAATATTATAATTAGCAATTAATAATTTAATAATTATGCTTGATACATCATAAAAAATTATCTTGATTAGGCACGAATCTCAAGGCAAAATCAGGTTAGAAGCTTCAAAAATTAAATATGGGACCATCTAAACTTTGATTTCAGCAAACTTCCAATTTAACTGAGCGTCTCGGAAACATGAACCCAACTACACCAAATTCAAGTCAATCCGAACCTAAAATAGTTCAAATCAAAGACCCGAAACACATTTATAATGTTCAATTCATATTTGGATTACCAAACATTTTCCAAATATGGCATGCTTATAATCGAATTGCGCGACTAGACAAGACGAATCCAACGAGCCTAAGTCATCAAATTTTGATATCTTTGGAGTCTTCAAGTGCCTGATAAATGATCCACGATCAAGGGATTCAACATTGGTTTCCATTCAAACCACTCCCAATTTCCCCCGATCTTCCTCCTATTTACTAGTCATGACATCCTCATAAAACTATAAATAGCCCCTCATTTCTTCAAGAGGGACCCAAGCAAGAAAGAGGAGAAGAGGAGAAGAGGAGAAGAGATGAAGAGAGGATAAGAAGAAAGAGAAGTAGAGAAGGATGGAAGAGAAGGAAGAAGCTCCTTCTCGACCACCACCAGAGTTCCTCTTGACTTTCAAGTGGCACTGGAGTTCCGGGTTCTGCCCGACTTTCAAGTGCACCCGGAGTTCCACCCGACTTTCAAGTGAGCGGGAGTTTCGTTCGACCACCAAGTGACGCTAAAGTTCCTCCCGACTTTCAAGTGACGCCGGAGTTCCGCCCGACTTCCAAGTGACGCCGGAGTTCAGGTGCCCTCCAAGTGACGCTAGAGTTCCTCCCGCCTCCAAGTAATAAATTGCATTTTTCTGGACTCATTTCAGCCCCTAGTGGTCATGAGGTCAAAATGACCAAAATACCCCTTTGGGGTATGAATAGTCGTTTTGAATTCAAACGAGCTCGCAAATTGAATACAACCGCCTCCAACAAGTTTCAAATATCAAACCCAACCTGTCGAACCCATTCTCAGGCCCTGGGTCAACCTGGTTGACCAAGTCAACTGAGTTGACCTAAGAGGCCCTTTAGGGGTCCAAAAGGTGTTTTTAACCCAAATGACCTCTTTGAGCCTGAAACCACTTCTATTGGTCGCTAAATGTCATTTTAAATTGATTGGGCCCATTTCTAGACCTGGGTCAACCTAGTTGACCAGTCAACCTAGGTTGACCAAATAGGCTTTTTTAAGGTCAAAATCGGCATTTTGACCAAATTGACCTTTTCAAACCATAGAACCACATCCAATAAACTCAAAATGTTATTTTAAATTTGTTGAACCCATTTCTAGACCCCGAACCTAGTGGTTGACCAAGTCAAACATTTTGGCTTTATGGCCCATTAGGGCCCATTAAGCCTCTTAACCCAAATGACCTGCACAAACTTTGGAATGACCCTCACCACCACCCATGACATTCTCTAGTCCACATCATTCACCTCATTGACTGGTTGATTGGTCAACATAGTCACACAACCTCTTAAGGGCTTTAGGGAACTTAAATATTTAAGCAAATCAAACTACCTCAATCCATTGAACTTGGCTCAATCACCAGCAAATCAAACATTTCTTCATGGCACATCAGCACCATTGACCCATTGATTGGTCAAATGGTCAATGCATGGTCAAATGAACCTTAACTTGCCCAATTAATCCCTTAAGCTAATTCACTTGAGCCTAATTAATCCGCTGTTAAGACCTCTTCTAGAAGCTCCTTAGAGCATTTTGTAACCCTTAGATCTAATCACTGGTCTTGATCAAGCCATGTGTTCAAAGGGGCAAAAAGGAGATTTAAAAACCTCATGCCAACCTCTTGTCTTTGATCCCTTGATCCCATCAACTCCATGGACACTTGGCAACCATCAAAGAGCTCATACAGTCAATCCTAACCATCCAAATGCACTAAGATGGCTTGCATAGGGAAATATCTTAAGACATGCAAAGGCCCTTGAAGCCTCTCTTCATCAAATCCCTCCCTCATCCAAGAGTATCCCAGCCATCAAAACCTTCAAAGAACATTTTCCAAGCCTTTCCCTACTTTTCCCAAGCCTTCCCCACGAAAATCTAGCCTTCAAAGCTTATTTGGTGAATAGAGAGGAATCTAGAGAGAGAATCAGGTTATTCACAATAAACTTCCAATCCAGATAGATCCAGCTCCTGAGGTCTTCTACAAGTTGAAGAGGATCTTAGCAGCTTTCCAACAAGCCCAAGAAGTCAAAAATCCGACGGTTGGATTGTAAGTTATGCCCATTTTAAGTTTAATTTTAAAATTGAAACTGTAGAAAATCTAAAAGGCATGGAGCCTCCAAACTCTAGGCATTGTTAGATTATGTTTCCATCTAGCTACAGTTCAAATTTCATCCAATTTCGTTGAGTATTTTGAAAGTTATGGGCATTTGAAGGTTTTTTAGCTCTGGGCGCGATCGGACGGCCCAGAAGCGGCCACGTCGCCCTTCCTGAACGCGCCATCTCCCTTGGATTCGAACCCGCGCCGTTTCAAGCGGGGTGATGACGTGGCGCAATCTGGGCGTCTATCTAACCCGCGGTCGATCGGGACGGCTGATCTAGCCGTCTGAGTGGTTAAGTGCGGACCCTGCCCTGCCACGTGGCGCGCTGCCATTGGGCGCCGCCGATCCGGCGCCAATCGGCGGTCAATTTGACAAAAAGGGTCAAAAATAATTCAAAAAAATGCCCAGATCTTCCAAAATTCATAGAAAATAGAATTTTTCACCAAATTGGACGTTCTGAATTGATTTGGAAAGGTAATTACATCTAGTATTTAATAAATTAAAATCAAGTTGATTTGGTTTCTGAATTGTGAGATATTTTCATTTGTTTGAATTATGTTTTTTGCAAATTTCTCACAATCCAGTGATCAATTGGAGCCCAAATTTTGGTGGATGATTATTGGGTATCCTAGTCGTGTTTAATAATTTGTTTAGGGTTATATACCTAATGGATTTCTGTGATGTGAATTTGCAAGGTAAAGGGTCCATTTTGGACCCTAAAGTTTGAAAATTCATAACTCTTTAGGTTCTTATTTTCTTGCTGTGAAATTGCTGTGGTGTGAATACATTTGCATAAGGGTTAGACATACCAAATTTCAAGCCCATTTGAACAGTAGAAAAACCTAGGGAAAATATTTAAGAAAATGTCTATTTAACTTAGAAAAATCCTAGGAAATTCTACACACACCCAATAGGGGTGAAACTTGAACATAGTAAACCTAGTGACATGTGACACCTTAGGTTTAAATTT